ATAATATATTATTTGGTTATATTTTAAATTTTGTTTCTTTGAATTAAATCGCCTCATCTATTCGAAAAAATATTACTGTTTTAAAAATTTCATATTTTACTCTAATCTTTTGTTTGGATTAACCCATTTAATGTTTGATTAAAAATCCAAAAGCAGTCATAGCATCGCTGATTCGCTAATGTATATTCTATCAATATCTGTGACAGAACATTGCATTTCAGGTTATGTTTTGACTATTTAGTGTGTTACAAGTGTGTGTGTCAGTATTTTGACTCTATACTCTAAAAAGAACGTATATTTTTGTAATATTGCGGTTTTGTTTTCCTAAATCAGGTAAGATTTTATTACATAACTATTGTTTCAAGATTTTTTGCAAATAGAGAAAAAATAGAAAAGATTTTTTGCCTTTTTGCAAAAATTGTTTTTCTAAATACCACTTATAATCACCTCTTTGGTTCAATATAATGTTGATAAGAAATAAATTATTTTGCAAGACAAGACTGTTGGTTTATTTGTTTACCACACTTTAAGACTGATGGTACAAATACATACCAGCACCCTTTTACAACCTACCTATTTACACCCTACCTATTTGTATATCAAAATATATAGCCAGATCTTTTATTAAACTTGTACTAATTATCAAAAACTATAAAAATTACAGATAACACATACTGAAAATTTGTCTTCAAAGGATTAAACAGAATTATTGAACTTTTTTAATAAAATGAGGAGACAAAATAAAATAATTTTCTTCTTTAAGCAAAACAAAAAAATTATTTGGATGAACAAAAAAATTATATGAAAAGCCAAATCATATTTGTTGAATAAAGAATTGGGTTATTTGGATTATTCCAAGAGATAAATTCCTTTGAATTTAATAAAACTTATTAAATCTAAAGACATTCCTCCTTCTGTAGAGTATAAAATGATACGTTGCTTCAGGAAGAAACTAAATTACGTCCGCAAAGAGAAGCATGTTGTTTCGTCCGTATTAACCGATGTGCAAACAAATCGCGGCTTCAGATTTACATCGATTGAATGTACATTACATAAAATGTATGCATTACAATGTTACATTACATAAAAGGTACATTCGATTAATACAAAATTCAAAAAAGACAGGTTATCCTACTCGGATCACTTATGCTAATATAATGAATTAATCGTACGAACGAAAAAAGGATATAGCGAAATATAAAATGTCTTGATAATACGGAAGAAACGTGTTTTCTTGTTCATATGCTTGTTATGATTCAGTAGGTTCGTGCTCGCAGGAAATGAGAGAAATCGCGTGTCATGAGACTCTCTTGTAAAGAAAATCGTAAAAAAATATTTCTATAAACTATTTTCTTTGTCTTGTTCTGCATCTATCTGCTTTTAAAGTGGATCTTCCACTAATAATATGTGGCACATTAGTATTTGCAAACAATATGTAATAAAATAAACGAGCAATTTTCCAATCTCTGTATTTATAAGCGTAAACTCGTAGAAGTGGAGTGCCGCGCGATCTCGTCGTTTTCAATATTCCGACAACACAAATTTATCCCTGGTTATTAGATCTACCTTTTCGCAAGAGTACAATGCACTCAGAAAGGAAAATGCGCAAAGTGTACCAGAACGAATGGCGGTTTCTGCTAATTTCTTATGACTCTTTATAAGTCCTCGTCGTCAACAACGACTGCGAGGCATATTGTGAATAAAACGATCGTATTATTCGATCATAATTTAACTTCAAAAGATCTCAAGTGCGCTAATATTCGTCAAATAAAAGCTTTTACCAGTTACGCGGTCACAAGTGGAATTAAAGGACATCTAAATGATAATCCGCAGCATCTGAGTTGAGCGTATTAGTCGAATAAATTTATTCGACTAATACGCTTTAGAGTAAAGATTTAGAGTAAAGATTTGAATAAATTCATCCAAATAGAGATTTTTCTCTCTTCTCCTTACGGATGAAATGAATTATATTCATGGATGAAAAATGGCATGCAAGAACTTTCATAAATTCTCAAGTTTTATTCATCGTTTAGATTTTACACTTGGTTCGTTATATTATTATTTTATATCTAATTTGCCGTTTTAAATTAAATTTGCTTAATTCTTTGCGCGCAGCATAAATGAGACCAGGGCTAGATGCCTTAGAATTTCAAAGTTACTTCTCAGGTAAATAAATGTTGATTGACTATACAAACTGATAGAGAACCTTCTTCTATCTATAATGCCCGCCACGATCCTGTTAACCATATATTTTGTTTTGTAATAACAAGAATATAAGAATACGAACATAGCCATCTTGTAGTGTCCAGTGCCAGTATCCTGGTAGTAGGCTCAATTGTTCAGTAGCGCAGGGTAAAGAAGGCCACATATAAAATATGTATCTTGATTAGTAATTCAAGAGTCTCCGCGAGAAGTCTCCACAACCCTTTTGCCGGTCTTTAATTATGGGCCAACTTTACCTCATCCGTCTATATGCTTTATTTCAATCATATTATGAATGAAAATTGCATATATTACTAGAAACGGTATATTATACGCTTTTAAGAAATTTTATTCCAGCTAATAATACATCGCTTAATTTTATTCAGTCACGATGCAGAATATTAACAGAAAATTTCAAGAGACTCGAAAATTTAAAAATTTTGCTATTATTAAATTAAAATTTTTTGTTCTATTTCTTAACTGTTCTTTTGATTTTAATGAAACTCAGAGAAAAGTATTTATATAGTAAAAGCATTTAATATATTTATTCCAAAAGGACCATTTTGTGATTATGTATTCATTATTCTTCTCAAGATAAATATTGAAAAAGAGACACACGAGCAACATATGCCTGGACCCATATAGCCTCCTCCTACTCGAACTTAGAATCGCAGCAGGTATTGGTTCTTTTTCTTTCGTCGCTCTTTCGAATATCGCGTCTTCGAATTGTAACCATAATGCATCCTTGTCACGTTATTAGATCCGGTTGAAATTAGCCTCTGCTTAACTGCCGTGAATAACGCGTTATTCTGTTTCTGCCTTTATTTGTGTCGTAGCATCTCGCACATACGGCATCGAATTGGTTCAGATCTCGCGTGAAAGCTCGAGGAGATCTCGTCTTAAGAATACGAAGATTATGTTTTGCATAAGCTCCGACAAACTTCCGCTTCCCTCGCTCTACATCATCTCTTTGTAGTCGACTTAAAAGGCGGATGCAATTTTACTTTACGGATAATTAATTATTAAATATCACGGCGCTTTCAAAGGTAGCGGGGCAATATGATGGTAGACTGCGATCGTCTTATCTTCATTGGATATCATAACGGTCGTGTTTCGCGAGTGAAAAAAGAAGAAAGAAGAAAAGTATCGAAACGCCGCGTCGAGTCGAGTCGATGGCTATCGTGTCTGTAATAAATCTCCTGGACGAGTCGCAAAGCGAGCGGACGAGTGTCGCAAAGCGAGCGCGAACGAGACGTCCGAGTGGCGCGCGAGTGGGAAAAAGAATGACGACGTGCAAAGAGCGATACGCTCCAATATGCACCGGTAAGTACGCGAATGATCCTACCGGATACGGAAACACAGAGGCAAAACGAGTATCGCGTTGAGAGAACATGTCATAAAGGAGCTACGAGGAGGAAAGGCACGTGCCCGGTATTTAGGAGAGGCAGTAACGTAACAATAGGCAAGTACAGGGGTGGAAACGGTAATGGTGTGTCGCGGTTCGCCCGAGCTTACTTTTATGTGTCGCCAGGGAACCTCTACCGTCGTCTCCCTTTCTATCGTCTCTCTCTCTCTCTCTCTCTCTCTCTCTCTCTCTCTCTCTCTCTCTTCCTCTATGCCGTTGTCCCTCTCACACGCGCATTCACACACGGTGGTGACTTTCAACGCCCCTTTTCGCTACCTTCTCCCGTTGCCTCTCACTCTCTGTCTCTGTCTTTATCTCTGCCTCGCTTACTCTCTCTCTCTCTCTCTCTCTCTCTGTCATACCCTCCGACGCACTATTCTGTCTTTCTCGTTCGGTCGGGAGCTTTTTTAGCAGACAGAGAAGCAGCAGCCTAGAGGTAAAAGAGAAGCGAGTAAGACTCGGTAAAGCTCCGCTTTGTCGCCGGTCTCTCCCTTCTATGTTATTAAATCGTATGTGTTGAACCCTTTTCCGAGCGGCGTATTACGACGCCGCAGTCGCCACTTAGAGACTGCCTTACAGCTGCAGCTGCACCGGCAGCAGCACAGCAACGGTAGCAGCAGCCTATACTTTATTTGCCGGCAGGTACTTCTGCTCTCACGAGAAATCTAGTTGTCCGAAATCCGGTTACGCGATTTCTTTCCGGAGTCGCCGGTGACTTTTAAGCGGACATGACCGTCATGCGTCTTTGACATATTGGAGGTGAGCAGCGAAAACTCTCTGCGACCAATTCGTTCACTTTCCAACCGAATCAGCTGATCATTAGTGTCAGTCTGATAATTAGTATCGTCTATTGGATAAATTGAAGGGTAGCGAAGACGTTTACGAATCTATAGAGTCCGCGAATGAACTTAACGGAGTTCCCTTGCTGGCATTAAATACGTTAAAGAGGTCGGCACACTTTTAGCGGTACCTCTATATACCATTTCGACATCTCGACGTGTCTATTTTCGTGATGGTTACGCAGTTATGACTTTCTCACGAAACACGTGAGGATTTTGCCTTCTCTTGGTGGTTTTGATCTTCGCGGGACGATTCGTTGAAAGATTGAACACCTCGAAATTTCGATCCTATTTTAGACCCCAATATTCCATTTAACGCTTATTTTGATCCTATATCTGTCTCCTTTGATTTTATTTATCTATTAACTATATCAAGAGGTATATTAGAACCTATAAGTGCGACATTTTTTGTAATTTCTATTTAGAGCGTTAAATAGGATTTCAGTTTTTATGTATATTAAACACATACTAATCCTTTGGAGTATAAAAAGGTTAGAAAGTTCAGGTCGAAAGTAGGACTAAAATTTCGATTCGGATGCACAGTATGTACTTACAGTCGACGGACACCTTGATCTGCTTGCTAACTGTCGGTGGTATGCCGTTGCTGGCGATGCATAAATATGCGCCCATATCCAATCTCGAAATTCGAGCCATTTCGAGTGTTTCACCCTCCCATTCTGCCACTAAAATCATAATCGCATAGCTTGTTACTCATGTACAGATCCATCGATCACAGTGTTAATGTCTAATACTCTCTAACACACATATTCAACATAAGTAGAGGAGGCCAGATAGCATTTTTTCAGGATATTGAAATTGTAATTCCTCACAAAGGACTCTCAACCTATCATTGATCGCTTTTGTAATTTTTTTGATCAGAGTCGATAAAGCACCTTTCGAAATGTAAAATGCCACATTTGGCATTATTGCAATAATGCCAAATACCCGAGAAATAAGCCTGAGATTGGTTAGTTGGCTGAAAGGTACAACACACCCTTCCAGAATAATACCGCCTACATTTGAGCCTACATTTAAACTAAACATATATGAGTGAGCCGCGAGGAAAAAAAGAATGGTTTAGTGAAAAAAGAACATAGCTTGAATGTTACGCTCGAATGTAAACGGTGTTAGACGCTGTCTGGAAGACAGCGCTGTATCCTTTACCCAGCTAACTAATTTCGAGTCTGTTTCTCGGATATTTGGCATTACCGTAGTCCCTAAAATGTGGTATTTTACATTTCGAAAGGTGCTTTATTGATTTTGATCAAGAAAATTACAAAAGCGATCAATGATAGATTGAAAATCTTATCAGACAACTAATTATTGTGTTTGATTGCATAAACATGATTTATGTTTTATACAATTTTGTAGCTTGTAACGCAACAATTTTGTAAACTGTAATGACCGAAATACGAGCATGTTGCAGAATAGCCATCTTATCCCGGTGCCGGATCAAGTCGGCTCGGGATAAATATACAAGAAATATGATATATAAATATATAAAATATTTATCCTGATCAATAGCTCTAGAGTCTCCACGAGAGATCCTCATAGTCCGCTGCAGCCACTTAAATAGTGGTCAACTTTACCTTATCCGTCCATATACTTGATTTTAATTATTTTATGAATATAAATTACAACCAAATCATATCATGGTACAGTAATTATTAATTATAAATTAATTAATTAATTATTAATTAGAATGAAATTTCATGCAAGTATTATTAATATAAAATGACGTATTATTAATTAGAATGAAATTTCATGCAAATATATGATATGGTTGTTAACCAAACCATATCATATACTTGCATGAAATTTCATTCTAATTAATAATACGTCACTTAAGTTTCACTCATGATGAAGAATATTAAAGTAGTTTTGTCATGAAACGAATTTCGTGAAAATTTGATGAAGCTTGTTCGTGCAATCAGAAAAATATTTAGTCATTCGAGAGTTGAGATATTTGCAAATAAAGTTGATATTTTTTATATACATTCTGTCAAAAAAGTATCGGGAATTGTCGATTTAAACTGCCCGCGCTAGTCGAAGGTATAAAAATTTTTTTTTCCAGGTTGGTACAACTGTCTTTAATTATGATGCCAAGTTAGAGTGGAATCTGTCAACCAGTGTGTTTACAACAGCTGGTTAAGTCAGTCGATGTCAGTAGTGCGTGCCGATTTTTACAATGAGTGAAAATATTGAACAAAGAATTTGTCTCAAATTTTGTGTTGCGAACGAAATTTCGTGTGCTGTTGCATTGAAGATGTTGCAGAAGACTTATGGTGATTCAGCACTATCAAAAACCTGTGCATATGAGTGGTACAAAGCCTTCAAGGAGGGTCGAGAAGTCGTCGAAGACTTGCCTCGTTCTGGACGCCTGTCGACAAGTTTGACCGAAGATAACATCGAAAAAGTGAAGGAAATTGTACTCGAAAACCGTTATTTCAGCTTAAGAGAGGTAGCACACGAACTTAACATGTCCCATGAGTCCGTTCGTTCGATCTTGGTCGATAATTTGGGCATGAGACGCGTCGCCGCAAAACTCGTTCCAAAAGACCTGAATAAGCCGTCTCACCGAGCTACGATTGTGACTGATTTTCTCGCTAAAAACTCAACAAATGTACTTGAACAACCACCGTATGCACCAGA